ATAATTAATTCACAATATTGAATTATTTAATTTGTGTTACATTTAAACGTGACTTTTAAATTTTATAATATGTTCGCTATATTTTTAATTTTCTGAAAATTAAACATCTACAAGTATCTTCTAATACACTTTTTTTATCATTTCGTCAAAAAAATTATTTCGTGGATTATTTTAAAACATATCATAGAAATGATAATTACTTCACCCATATCAATTTTTACTTTAATTTCTCCCTCTTGAAACTTCTTAATTCTTCTCCAATAGACTGTAAAAACCTTGATGCTTTCTGAGCACTTCATTTTTAAAAGAAGCTGGGTAGATTAGAACATTTATGTTTAAATGAAAAGGTACTCTTTATTTTGTAAAGAGTGGTACTCATATGAGGATTTGTACTGACTCGAAAGCTTTGATGCTGGTAACCATACGAGATTTACAAACAGATCAAATTAGAAAGATATGAGGTTAATATGGAAGGCTATTGGAAAGGAATAATACAGGAATGCAAGTTTTAAGAAAGGACGCGTGAAAAGTCATGGTAATGCTTTTATCTAAAAATGAGGTTGAAATATAACGTGTATTTATTTTCCTTTTGAAATAGATAACGAAAGGTATATTCAAAATGTATCATCCCCTATTAATTAGGCTCAGAAGAAGATTTGATGGTGGAATAGCTTAGGTGGATATTTGTATGAAGTAAATTAACATATACATCGAAGATTATAATCCTACCAATACAGTTGAATACAGTTGCTGGTATAGAGGTTTTCTCAATGAAAATATAGTGAAAACGGCACCTACTCCACCCGAAAAAAGTAATCTTCAAAATCTATAATTGAATTTATTATAATATTGGTTCTTGTATAAAAGGCGTCATAGAATAAACCTGTAAATATTATATTTCTAATAGATCCAATGGGAATTTATTTTCATAAATAATGTTTACATTAACTTTATCGCTTATAATTTACATCCAATTTTATCACGATCAATTTACGCCATTATCTCCTCCTTTACAAATTTCAGATTTTTTGGCATGATTTAGGACACTCGTGCTGATATCTATGAATATATCAGAAAGATAATTTTTCAAGTGCCTTCTCCATTGCAAAGGAAAGATCTATTTATATATTCCACAGTAGTATCGATCCTTTTAATTTATTTCATTATATTCTATATAATTCTTTTTTATTCGCGTATAAGTAAACTGGCATTATTATATTTTTTTGTAAAACTGTCCTTTTAGTTTGTGACAATCCATTTATCAACTTGAAACAAAGCAATACCATGCGTTAAAATCATTTCATGAAGACACAGTTAAAGTACTTGTTCATGAGGTAATTACAAAGGCAATATTGCATTTCAGTCTATTTAGTATAAATTATTTATATATCAAACCATAATTTATATTCGTAATAATTTAGTTCGAACTTTATCATGGAGTTGAATTTCATAGCAATATTATTCACTTATATAGGATGACTTCAAAACAAAGTAATATATGTTCATGATAAAGTTTATTAAATGTATTGATATTTTAATTTGCTTTTAACATTTATTATATTTTTAAAATTAGAAAAACAAAATAATCAATTGAAAAAGTATTTGATGGAATATGCCGATGACGATGCACTGAGAAACTATAAGCTTACTTGGGATGATTAATACAAATTTGCGTGACAGTTGGCTTGCGCAGTATCATATTTACATGAAAAAGGAATCGTATCGTGATTTGGTACTTTTATACGTTTGATTTCAATACTTTTAATAATAAAAATTTAAAATTATTATATTAGCATTCCAATAATGTATTGATTCATCAACATGTTATTAAACTAGCGGATTTTGGATTATTTAAAAGAATTGAAGAAGCAACTAAAAAACATTCAAAAGTATTTGGAGAACTTCCTTATGTTGATCCAAAAAATTTGACAGGCAGAGAAAAAATGACAATACATTGCAACCATATACGTTAAATGAAAAAGGTGATGTATATCGTGTGCTGTTATGGGAAATATCAAGTGGACGACCACCTTTTTATGTTAAAGGTGTAGAATATGAAGTTACTTTAGCTATAGAAATTTTACAAAGACCCAGAGAAGGTATCTTTCCTGATACTCCTGAAATTTATCAAAACATTTAAACAGTTAAATATATTACTTTGATTATAATTTTAAAATATATAACGATAATGTTTTCGATCATTTCATTAAATTTTTTATGTGATTTTTAGAGTGCAGGGACAATGAGACAAGTGAGCCAGAAAATCGTCCGGACATGAACAATATAGCTGATGTATTAAACGCAATTCATACAAAACAAAAGTATTAGAAAATGAACAAATTAATGAATAATAAAACGTGCAATTGTCTGAAAAACCTTCTCATTCATTACATAGGGAATTGTCTCACGTGATTCACGTGATTCAAATTATGATTCGCATCAGTTGAATGTAGTAGATGCAACTAATGTCATTATTTACGATGATACTATTGATAGTTTAATAATTATAGAAGATATAAGGAGGATTGCAAAGATTTAGAAATTACAAGTACTTAGATTTGTTCGTGCTCAAATAACCTGCCTACCAACTTTACTCAAACCCTTAATGGAACTATATTGCTTTAAATCACAAATAAACAGCTTACCAACTTTACCTGACTCCTTAATTGTATATTTGTTAATAATACTATTTCTTTTTATTCTTTGTAAAATTTATTTCATTCTTAATATCAATTGATCGACATCCCAATTATGTTGATATTTGCAATCTAATAAATAAATAAATTAATTTTAATTATCTGCCTTACGAAATGTCTGCTGCATATGTAAATCTCCTAGAGATAAATCCTCAGTCATGTATCAAAGTTTTGAGACAAGCCCCATTAAAAAGGTTTAAAGTCTTCACTAAGTCAGAACTTTTGGTGTTATGAAAATTCTTAGAACCGATCCATTATAGATTATAGAATTTCAACTTGATTCGTAAATTTAGGACCGATAAACCTGATCAATTTGATAAATTCCAATTTTGAAATTGATTATTCGCGTATTATCCAAAGCCATAGATAGAATAGGAAACGATTTTTTTGAAGCCAAATATTTTTCTAATAATGGAGATAGTTTTCAATTACATGAATCTTGATAGACGTGGATTTTCTCACTTGCAAAAGCATTTGTCAATCGCTTTTGCAATAAATGAATTTATGATAATATTTTAAGCTTGCTCGAGAGCTATTTATAAGCTGCTTCATATGTTTGTTGATTTAATATTCTCAATTCATGAATATTTAGAGCTGATATCATTAGGACAATCCAATGAGATGCTCTAAGAAAATTGCCTAATTTATTTGCTAAGCCATTTCGTCATTTTATTGTCAGCAAAGCAGCCAGCACGAAAATAGATTAATAAAGAAATATTAATAAATATGTACAGAATAATTAATGAAATAAATAAATTACTTTAAAGTTCATTTTCCTCGTTTAAATATCATTTCGTGAATTATAGAATTAAATAAAGTTTCATTTTACATATATATATATATTTACGAATTTCCAATTAAAGTATGAAAATAGGAGAAAAGTATCTAATCAAAGGATATCGTTTAGAAAAGAGGATACATTCAGCTGTTAAAAATACGAATGGGAAATGTAAATCTGTTCCCGTGTTAAATATTTAAGATATTTAAAAAGATAAATCAAATTTCATTCAAGCTATAAAAAATAATCTTCTAGCATCTAAAAAGTATAAAGTAATAAAAACATACTGTTCCCTCATGGCTTAAATTCAATTTTAAAAAAAGATAATACTTTTAAGAAACAAAGCAATATTGTTTTTGAAAATGGTAATCGGATAATTTGAACAGCTTTGAACGCGTTTTCCTATGTCAAAAACCTTGTCCAAAATTTATAAAATCAAAATGACTTTCCAAAAAGTTGTAACAAACATATTTTGGGCCTCAAAATCTAGTGTTTTAAGCAGAATCACATGGAAATTGTTTCTAGCAATTTAAAATCAATTTCATACTTTTGATTACGATCTCTAAATGACAAAACATCATTTTTTTGATTCACTGCATTAATATCACAAATTTATTTTCCATTATCAATAATGATATTTTCTTTAAATGCCTGTTAGTAGTAGAACCAGCCGGTGCAAATTTTGGAGTCGGCTCAGTCAGCCGTTAGACAATTTTCATTCGACTCATCCGACTCATCCGTCGACTCTGACTCTAACGGCTGGTACTACTATCTGTTGGATTTAAGTCATATTTACACGACCCCATTTACTTTGACCTTTGAGGACCTTTGAGTGATTTGTCATGAAGACAGTTTATTTAAACTAAGCTATTAATTAAAGTATTTTCTTTTCTTTATAAATGTTGGAATTGAGAGATCAGTTGGTATAAATCGACTCTACTCTCATTTGTTAAATATTAATATTTTGGTACTAAATCATTTTACAATAAAAATAAGGATTTTAGTTGTATTTGTGCTTCGGAACAATCGCTCTTTTTCGCAATAAAATTGTATTTAAAGAGTTTGCTATGTACTAATTGAACTGCAACTTCATCTTATTTCCTATTTTTGCTAGGTTCATATTATTATTTTAAAATTTGTTATAAAAATATTTTTAGCTTTATTTTGACGAAAAAAGCTTTAAAATATTTATTTATGATAGTTGAATAAAGGTTTTTTGTTTGACTTTGACATAATAGAAAAAAAATGAAGAATAAGATAGGAAAGTGATAATAAAGAATAAAAATTTAAAGGCATAAAAAATTAGAAAGCTTTAAAATAATCTGCGCCGAATAACTAATTATATCAATACGTTAACACTTCCTCTGACAAATCATTGTTATGTTTTAAGTTACAAATATTTGGAATACTTTGGGTACATGGCTTAATGTCTTAGGAAGCATAAGGAGAATAAATATATGGAATACGCATTATTTACAATTCGCTATTATCACGAATCAAATGAACACGTTTAAGTTGATCGGCATTCATGATTTTGACTGTTCGTGTTGTTTGACTACAATTTTAAAATTCGGCAATTTTATTGATTTGACTCCAGCATTTATTAGCATATTAGCGAGCCTTGTATCAACATATTGTTCTTCACTTCGCTCACAGTTTAATACTAAATTACCTAATTATCGTTGTTAAACAGATTTTTATCAATGTTGAAATTAAGGAATAATTTTTCATTTCGACTAATGCACAAAGATAAATCGATTACCTCGTTTAACGTTTTTCATCAAGCCATTTATAAGCTTCAAAAACATTATGTTGGAATTATTTTCAGCCCAACCGTTACTCACGTTATTATCGATCATAAGAACATCATGAAAAACCGAAGGTGACTGGCTGCAGTAGAAAAGTTCGGTTTACCAAATGATTGATGTTTTTGAGAACATGTTAAGGTGGCATGATATCATTAGCAATCACTAACATTTTACTCCACGTGATATCTTTATATTTGTGGAGGATTAAATCATTCAAACTACCAACCCTTTTTATTATAATGAGGATCGTAAGGTTCGTCCAAACTTTCAGCAATTGGAAATATTGAAAATCTGCTGATGTTTTCTAAATTATATTTATAAAGATAATCAACAAATGTAAAGCCTTAATAGCATAGCGTCATTAACTAACTATATGATTAAATTCAATATTAGATAAACACGATACGTGCTTTAAAAGGTTGGAATGAAATCTATGTATCCATTTCCATAAAATATGGTCTGAAAAACAAAGTTATTAGGGCTGGATAGATTGAATCTTCTTTAAGCTCCTCATGTTTGAATCGGGAAAATAGCGAAAAAATTTAATTTGATTATACCATCTTTATTAATTGATTGAAACCGAGATATAATGACGCAGATACACCTAAATAATCGAAAATAAAAATTACGTTCGTTTTGTTTCAGGTATGATACCTAACCTTTCTTGGATATACCTGTATATACACATTTAAATTTACCAGTGTGTATCCACCTGCCTACAATGTTTTTTATACAAATATTCAGACTTAGATTAAAATTAAACTTGGATATTGTTTTGATGTCTGGATATATCCAAAACAAAAAAATAAATTTTTCAAAATTCAACATTACATACATTTAAATAATATATTATTTACTATTAAAGAAATTAAATTAATATTATGGGGAGCAAATCTTCATAATGATTTCTCATTAGAAGTCAAAACTGCTAATTTGACCGTCAGCGGACAATTACCCGTTTTACAAAAAGTTTTGGGGCATAGCAAGATTTCAACTACTGCCCTTTATATTAGAGATGGAGATTTAGGGAATTTGGTGAAATTTAGGCCGGTATAGTCTATTGAATCTGTGTTTTCGTATAAATTTACAAGATTTCGTACAGACATTTTTATCCACTCATTGTCATAATGTTGATGGATGTTATATTTAGCATTATCTCGAAGATAAGATGTCATCGAAACTTCGCGTAATTCTTCTAATGTCTTCTTACTGTAATTTGACAAGTCTTTTGCGATATCATGAAAAATATATTGGGGCTTATCTTCAATCAAAGATTCCAAGGGTTAATTATGGGTTCTGGATGGTGAGATGTTATTTAGTTTTTTTTTAAAAAAAATAAAATAAAAAACTGATTGCAACCTAAGGCATCAAGTTACACAAAATTATGTTAGTCCTTTTTTTTTTAAAAAAAAGATAATTCAACCTTCATCCAAGAATATATTCCGGATCAGTATGATAAAAAATATTTGTCTTGTCCGAACATTTCCATTATTTCTTCATGGCTTCTGTAAAATTCCATGAAAACGGGAATCCGTGTAAAAGGCATGAAAATGCCCGTGACTTAAAGATTATAAACTCTGTGAAAATGAGCCCTTCACGATAAAAACATGAAAAACAAAACACGGATCATCTTTTTTTATTGGGTAAGTTGGTGAAAGATTTAAATAAAGAAAGATAACTAACTCCCGAATAAAGTTTCAAGATCTGAACCGTTTACAAAAAGTGTATTTTTTTATGTAACCAATTTAATTAAAGACGGTTTGTTCAAGTTCGGCGTCCTAAAAAAAAAATAATGAAAGAAACGTTTCTAAAAGACTATATCGTTACATTATAACTTGCAATTTAACGTGCGTATCAAAATTTGAGGATGATATTAACTATAAAGTTAAAATAAAAAAAAGATACCACGGGTAATCACGAATCCAGTTCCAGAAATTTCAAAAGATTTAATTTTATGATTTTATACAATAATTAATGAAAGTCTATACTTGACAGATAAGCTATATTAATAAATACGGTCGCAACTATCTATATATTAAAATCAAAAATCTAGTTATGTTTCCAGGAAATTATTTAAAATCATTAGAATAATTATTAAAATATAACAGACAATTATCAAATTATACTTGTTAATATAGAAGATTTATTCAGAACTAAATTATTGTTTTTTCAAATAAAAAGTTTATTATCATAATCTTGATAATAGATGATAATGAAGACCTCTTTATGCGAAAACATCTAAAGGTTTGCATCTATTTAAAGATTCTGTAATGAGTTACATAATAACGTTAATATTTATTAGTGATTATTTTACTTTATACGATTTATTTCTTAATGTTTGATGCGTTCTTGTAACTAAACTAAATTACAATTAATGTAGGGATTAAGTGACTAAAACATGCCGTTTATGCTTAAGTTAGTCATAGATGGATCCATATATTATATAGATTTATTTACTTCAGTTAATTAATGGGAAAATTTTGAACGCCTATGTAGCTTTCGTCGAGTATTTCTGTCTTATAAGAACAAAGCTCAAAGGTCTCATAAGACTGACAGGAATCATCCAATTATTTAAATTACTTTTGGGGATAATTACTTTCTATGCGTCCACTGCAATGGTTAAGATTAATTTCGAAACTCTTTATTAAGAAACCCGTCAAAGTCGAAATCCAAACATGAATTTTTCGAATTTGCCATTTGCTAAAATAAGTTTTATAGTTATCCTACTTCTCGCTTAAATTAATAAAAATTGACTTTTTGGACTCGATGAACAAACTTTAAAGGATTCAAAAAATCTTATACAATCTTGTTTAACCTTATATTTAGGAAGTTTATTATTTCCACTTATTTGCGCTGAATAAACTAACAATTTCAATTTTGTTAAGTTGCTAAATGAAAATATGATATTTCAGACGTTCTTATATACGTATAAATAAAAAAATTGAAAATTTCTCGTCGAAAAAATTTCAAATCTAAATCAAGCTAGATCAATAATAAAATTACAGTCGCAGAAATTGCAGTCGCAAGAGCGTATGTTTTGTATTTTTTCCGGGCCTTACACCCTTTCTTTTTTTTAGTTTCCTCTCTTTCGGGTTGGATCGCATCTGTGTTGCCGTATTAGCTGTATTTATTTAACAGTTATTTTTCTTTTTTGATTTTTATCTTTCCGCTTAGTTTTTTTTTTTTACGGTTCGGGCCGGAAGAAAAAGCTTAATCGTTGAATTTTTTTGATTTATAAATTTTTTATTAAATTTCAATTTCAATTTCAATAGTATTTGGACAGTCATTATTATTATACTAAATCAATCCATAATTAGGAATGGAAATAAAATAAAAAGTTATAAATTATGTACCCAACAAATATTTGTTACTTGAAACCACTCTGCATTTATTTGATTCAATTTTATTATTTCATACAAGAAAATAAATACAACTAATGCTGTTTAAATAACAACGATAATTTTAAAATAAAGGAAAAATAAATACTTAATTTAATCATTATATACTTAAAATTTTAAATATTTTAACATTAGTATCGGTTTTAAAGTTGCTCAATTACAAAATGATTTTATTTATGTAAAAAAAATTATATACTCTATAATCATTGTTGAACAAATTATAATTTACAATAAATTTTCATATAAACAATAAAAACAGTAACTTAATTTATAACTTAATAAAGATAAACACGATTAGACCTTTTGTGTAATATGACAATCAATCTTTCCATTCAAATCCTCAATACTTTGGTTTTCAGAATTATTTACTTTACTGCTTCCAACTGTAAGGTTAATATCGTCATTATTAGTATAATATCTTTTGTTGAGTTTTGTAAATTTTGCATTAAAATCATTAAGATCATTAAAGGTTATTTTAAGAGTATGGGACATCACTGGGCAAAGTTTCAATAAATTTGGTTTTGTATGTGGAAGAAATCTTCGCCAACCATGGGTAACCTCACAGCGTAATACTTGAGTAATTGTAATACAAAATCCTTGCATATCTTTCTTAATAATCCACTGACCATAATGGGCTCCAGGAGCAAAACTTCCTCTATTTCTGTCATCTTTATCAAGATTATTATCAACGTATTGATATAACCAACGCTCTCCTTCAGCAATAGGACCTTTATAAGATAATTTCCATTCATTCGATGAGAATTTGGTATTATAAACCCTTCTCATACCACCTGTAATACCGTTCAAACTTCCCACTTGTACATTATTATCATTAGTTGTTGAAAATTCAACTTTTCGATTTGATTGTGTTGGTTGTGATATGCCTTTTAAAGTAAAATTTCGTTTTTTTTCAGGAATAGGAGAAATATTAACTTCAATAGAATAAAGAAAATAACCAAAGCCTAAGTTTTTTAATGATGTCCACCTATCACTAAGCATATCTCCTATTCCACAACCAATTACATCAATTTTATAATTTAGAATTCTGACATTCTCTTCAAAAGGAGCGATTTTTGCCCAAATACTAGCAGTGATATTAAAATCTTGAATTATATCTGGTTTCTTAACTTCAGCATTAACATTAGATTCAACATGAATCTTTTTATTTTTATTAACTATTCCATTACCGTTATTACCATCACCATCACCATCATCATCATCATCACCATTAATATCATCATCACTATCTCCGTTACCATTACTACCATTACCATCACTATTACAATTACTGTCACCACTTCCACCATTTCCACTATTATCACCACTTTTACCACCATTGTCATCATGACCATTATTCTTACCATTTTTATGATTGAGTTCATTATTATTATTATAATTATCGTTATCATTACTATCGTCATTATTACCCACTTGCCGTTTCTTAAAATTTCCTCTATTATTTGAAAAGAGATTGTTATCACTTGAAAACAGTACATCAGGATTATTTAATAATTCATTATTATTACTATCGTTCATATTAATTGGTTTTACTATATGGCATATAACGTCAAACTTATCTTCAAACATAGTTTCAAGACTTTCTAGAATTGGAATTTCAAGAGGCTTAGCAACCCAACAGGCAATACATGGGCT